GCCTATACAGGCCCAGAAGTAGAATTTCAGTAAATAGAATTCAGATTTCAGAGAATGTCTCTGTTTACAGATTTCATAGCACCTAAACTGAGAGAAGGCTGAGAATCAACTTGTAAGAATTAGACACCAAAAGTTCTGCTCTACATGCTTAGATCCTCGTGAGGACACGAGTCTGTGTTTCTGCATTTTCACTGTAGAAACCAGACATTTTATCCTACAGTGTTGTCTCTGTGGTGATTTAAAGTGAGGGAATTAAAAGTTTGCAATGCCTGAATAATGATTTACTACTTGGTATTCCTATGGATTGGTTTTGTATTTCTTACTACTAGTTCCCCTGACAATTTGGGATTTACCTTTCCATCCATTTTCATTTCAAACCACATAAGAAGAGATGTTATCAAATGCTTTGTATTCAGTGACAAATTCCTCCTCTTATTACCAAATGGGTTCTGACTGTTGCTAAAAAAAAAATTATGCACTTGATAGCACATGGGGATTTAAATACCATCAACTGTAAAGGGTACTTCTGCAGACTAATGCACAGTTCCTAGCAATGCTTAGGTCTAATTGCTAGAGTCTGGCTGAAGCCACAAGCTTCTCTTCCAGATTTTGAATACACCAACTTTGAACAAACTCTGAATTCAGGTTTTGATCCAGCTATTTAAAAACAAAAACACACAAAAAACAAAACAGAACAGCTTTCAGAATTGTAAACATCTACACTATCTATGGCATTTGAATTCAAGACATTACTAAAGCCTATCTAAATATATAGGGTAGAAAAACTCCACTTCAATATTAAAAAGACATTGCATTTGGTTTTATGGAAGAGGAGTCATCCTGAATGTTTAATGTATAGAATAAAAAGATGAAAAAATAGAAAGGCAGAAGTAAAAGCATAAAATATTTAGACAAGCCAAGAAGAAATGAACAAGGAATAGAGAACAACCAGGAAGGTGGGACAGAAGGATGGAAAAGGGAGACTGCAAAAAGTAAAACAAGATAATAGGAGAAAAGAGATACAATTAACAGCAAGAAAGGAGAAAAATTACTAAGAAAATCTTTTTCTGACCATCCATTAAACCCTCTGACAGAAATGGAAAACTGAGAAGGTTAAAAGGGGAAAAATGTTTATACAAATATTAACAATGGAGTTAGAAGTCTTCACAGTAATTTATACAAAGTTTAAGTTTGCAAATTCTAGTGGCAATAGCATTAGATCGAGCAGGTCTTTTGAGGAAGTCAAGGATGTAAGTTTGAAGTGCATATCTATATGTCATTTTAGTTGTCTTCACTGTCTCATATAATTTGTTATGCTTTGTTTTTTCAACATTTGCAATTTAAAAATAGCATTCTAGTTCATGTCAAGTATATCAGAGTTAATTACAGCAGACCGTGATTTTCAGTGCTAGGTGCTTGATGTTAGGCTCCCAAGCCTACGTTTGCATATGAAATAATTAGCCTCAGTTTCAGAACCAGCTGAACTGAGTCTGCTTAGTGCATGCTTAATAAAATCACTAATGTTCAAATTATTACAAAAAATACATTGCTATTTTAATGCATTAAAAAAACTCTCCCATAGAATGCAAAGAATTACCTGGTCCTATTCCCAAGGGACTTTAAATCAATTGGTAAGATTGTGCTGTCCACACTAATCATGAAACTGTAAGCCAAATTTGTTTTAGTACTCAGTGATTTCATTAACTTTTCCTTAGTGATGCTGAAGTTCAACCCAGTTTTGAGCCATCATCATGCAGGATGAGCTTGACATCTAAAAATTTAATTTTGTTATGTGAAAATACACACAAAGCATTTTTTTAGTGTGTTTATTTTAGTTTTTATTAACTCTATGATTATAGTGTAATATTAGACCATGCCATTTTACAGCAAATTCTTCCTATGGCACTAGTGTTCAAAGTGCTCTTCTTTGAACAGTGTGTAAGTGGAATTCAAAAGGAATTTCAACTTTCTTCTGTTAGATTTATTCAGTTTATGTATCAGATGTTCTGCTTAGACATGTTTCTTCCCAGTTCAGTGGCTGATATACTGCAGAACAATTCTGTAACTTCCTAAAAAGTCTTAAAAATTCTAACTCGGTATTTTTTCAATGTATTTTTTTTTTACTCAAGACAAAACATGATTTTATTCCTTCCTTGATATTTTCTGGTTTTGTGTGTTTTTCAACAACAGTTTATGGAGAGTGGGGGCAGGTTGAGGCAGAAAGGCCAGTGATTATATTGCCATTTTTACTTACCTTACACCTTAAACTGAAAGAGGGTAGATTTAGATTAGATATACAGAAGAAATTTTTCACTCTGAGGGTGGTAAGGTAAGCTGTGGATGCCCCATCTCTGGAGGTGTTCAAGGCCAGTTTGGGTGAGGCTTTGGGCAACCTGGTGTAGTGGAGGGTTTCCCTGCCCATGGCAGGGGGGTTGGAACTAGATGATCTGTGAGGTCCCTTCCAACCCTGACCATTCTATGATTCTATGATTTTAGTTTTCAGTAGCAAGATGCTATTCCACAAGAAAAACAGTAATGGCATCTGACCCTGTCTTTTAAACAAGAGTAGAGAACAGACTAAAGGAAAGCATCAGCTGAGGCTCTGTGGCATTCATGTGGCATAGAAGCCTTCTTTTCTTTTTCACATGTGAAAAATCTAAGACAGAAATGTGATTTCATTAGACTTTTACTGCTGTTTTTTTCTAGCTTAAAATGCAGTACTCCTGTTAAGATTTCATGTGAATATCTTCATATGTACCATATTATAATAATTGATTGCAGAATAAACAAGGCAAAACAGCTATCTCTGTAACTATAACAATTGGGAATTATACAGAAATTATAGAGAAGCTTTAGCATACCACAAACTCTGCAAAACTCTGTAAATCCCGATTTCTTTTCTATGCCAGTAGATTCCTGTTGTCAATGTGATTAGTTAGTAGCTATATTACCATTACGGAAACAATATTACAGCCAGAAACTCTGGTTCCTATTGGCCCCATTGCCTACCCTTTTTCACATTTGCTATTATGGTCCTTTTAGTCCTAGGTGAAATGTTTTCTGTTGTCTTTTCACATTCTATAAGAAACGCATCACAAATCCAACACACACAGTCAGAACTGGCAGTTCCTCAACTCCCGTAAGTTCAGAACTGCATGAAGGCTAAATTACTTCTGTCCCAGGAGACTGATTCTTTGAGGTCAAGTGAAGCTCATTAAGAAGAAGAGAGCGTGGGGAAGTTTGTGCTGTAGCCTTTCAGCTGTACCTATCATGTGTAAATGCTTTGAATTTTTTTATTTCCAGAACTGTGCAGACCCTTTACTATTGTACTGCTGGTGTATTTCTGTATTGGCCGAGTAGCATTGTTAGTGAACACATATAGCAAATAAGCAAAGTCTAATAAACAGGGCATGTAATTGCATTTAGAAGACTGGGATTCTCTTTCTGATTCTGACCTGTTTTATGAGTTTGGGAGCATCACACTTGCGTTCATGCCATTGTTTCAGCGTTCACCTCCCGCTGTAGTTATGCTGTGCGCTCTGCGGCACAGGGCTGTCTCATGTTGGTTAGTTTTACAATGCCGAACACAGATAAGGCCCTAGACACCACTGTTCTGTATGTGACAATAACAAATCCAGTGTCAGACAGACGGTTAATCCTCTAATGTAACATTTCTTCTTCTTTCTCCATGTAAGTGTTTCCGTTTTAATGAAATGGAAAATACCTAACTTGCTTTACTCCAAACTAATGAATAGATGAGTGCCATCAGAAGCTTTTTCTAGCAATTTAAAGAACAACAGGATAAAAAAAAAAAAAGGAAAAACAGCTCTTCTTTCTGTCTCTTTGTTGAGTCAGCACCAGAAATATTTATGCCTGAAGGACTCAGATTTGTTGAAGCTCAAGAGCTATGATAGAAACAAATGTCTTTTCTCTTCCGTTCAGTATTTACATATAAAAAGCACCTACTTTGAATATAGTTCCTGTTGTTGTCTCTGACTGAATAAGGGTGTGTGCATCATATTTACAGGAAAGAATGCTGAGGTATGTGATTGTTAATATTAAATCTTATTTTAAAATTTATTTTAATGCATTCTTACCAAAAGCAAAAATATACTACAGAAAGAAGAATGTTAGAAAAACACTACAGCAGCCTCAAATGAACATCTAGTGAAAGAGTATATTTTATTTGCATCAGTAAATTCTGTGTTAGCTTGGCAGACATGATACTATGCAGGAGCTTGTGAGGCATTCAGGGGCTGCTCGTCACCCTAGCTGTGGCCTTCAGATTCCGGTGGTAAGAAGGTTCGTCATCCCTCTCTACTCTCCTTCCTTTCTTCCTCCGAACATCAGCACAGGCCTCTGTCATTCAACCCATAACACTTCTCAGTTGCATTTCTCCTCAGTTTTGAGTATCAGCCATATTCAAAATAAGTCAGTTCCTCCACTACATCACCATTAGCAGCAAATTTTATTTTTTTCCTGTCCATTCTAGGAAAATGCTGCTTAGGTTCTCATTGTCTTGCACATCACCCACTGCAACCTCCTCTCCCCTCTGGTTTGCTTCCCTGTACCTTGGTGCACCAAGTAAAGCCCTTTCCAAATGCTACAAGCTATCTAGAACAAAATGTCAGTGTCCTGCACTCCTATCCTCCACATACCCCTCTAACTCCAGTTCCTCCTCAACACCTCTCTTCTGCCAGTAATAAAGGATGTCATAGCAGAGGTTAATGACTTGATTGCCTCTCCCCAGATATTGATCAGAGCCTGGGTAAAGATCTAATCTCAGGTGTTGAGAGGCAGTTCAAAAGAATCTCAAGTTTCCTAAAAATATGTTAAGAACTTCCTTGATTAAAAAAATGATCTTATTGCTTTGCCAGGTCTTCTTTGCATTTCTCACCCAGCAGGAAACGAGTGGCACAAGAGAAACACTTCTACTCTCAAAGCTCTCTAATATACATCAGACCATTACCGTATGTCTTTGTTTTGGGGTTTTTAAACAGAGTTGGCGTAGATCCAGATGAAGACCTGAAAACAGAAGCTGCAAGCCAGGTATGTCAGGATTTTAGACATACATGCTGAATTAAAAACTGTTCAGTTGTTAGCAGATCATGTTTGTCAAAAATAGCATTATAGCTGAAAATATTTAAAACGGGCAGGTTGACAATAAAAAGCTGCAAAGTATCTTTCTTGGACAAGGTTCAAAGAGAGGAGATGTATATATTTTTCAGTGTGCATGCACTCATAAATGTATTTAACTAAAAACATTAGAGTTTAAGAAAATTATAAACACATGCAAAGATATCCTGAGGGATCTTATAAACAAAATAGAAATATTGCCTTGATAAATCAAAATATTTATCACCTTCCAAATGCTGCATTCATGGAAATGAGACATCTCAAAACAATGTTTCATTCCCTAGAATGAAAAAGGAAAATGCGTAATGTTCAATTCTAGTAGGTCAGGTTTCTGAAAATATTTTTCAGTTATTTTTCACATGGAAATCAACTACATTGTGAACTTGAAAACTTTAAACTAAAGGAGGCTATTTAACGAGCTGCAGCTGCTCATCTGTCACCCTCCCTTTTTTTTCATACATATATGGCATTGTTTCAAATGCAGCACTGCCTGCCACAATAGTAGAATTCTACAAAGAGTCAATACACAGAGACATAACATGTGCTTCAGCACGGTAAGTGGAACAGCAGTAGGACTAGGGAGAAGCAATGCTGGAGTTGAGAAGTTGCCAAAGCAAAAAAAAAATGCCTATTACTGTGTTCCTATTTCTAGGTAATCCCATCTCATGCACTCTTTCAGACTGCACAACTGAAACTGAAATTGAAATCACTCAACAGTGATATAAATGTAGGAAATAAGTTAGGGA